AAAAAAAAAAAAAAAAAAACAACTTTTTAAATAAGCCAAGCATGGTGGTACACACCTGTAGTCCTACTGGGAAGGCTAAAATGGGAGGATCCCTTGAGTCCAGGAGTTAGATGTGGCAGTGAGCTATAATCATGCCACAGCACTCCATCCTGGGCAACAGAGCAAACTCAACTCATAAATAAATTTTAAATAAATAAATAAGTATTCGACATGTGACACCATCAATGACTTTCCAAACCGTAAACCTGATTATGCCACTTGACGGCTTAAAAATCTTTCAGTGGTTCCTAGCACTTACAACATAAATAGTTCAATTGCCTCAGGATTGCAAAAAAGCATCTTCACAGTTTCTGCCTTTCCCTTCCAAATCCCCTACTTAGCTACACAAATTACTCGCAGTTCCCATTTAAACCCATGTCCCTACCTTTGTTCTTGTAGTTCCATCCCTCTAAAGTGGGCTTCCCTTTCACCAGAATTCTATCAAGCTCTTTAAATCTGAGTTCAAGTGGTACTTCCTCTCAGAAGCCTTTCAGGAACCTCCCATGCCTCCCTTCTTCACCCAAGTTAATTACACTTCCTCTGGGTTCTTTTAATTTTAGGCGCTTATAGCCATCATAACTAATCTCTGTAACAACTAATAATTACAGCACATTGTAACTGTCTAACATCCATTTGTCATATTAGACTATGACCTTTCTTTTCCAGCTTATTCTTTTTTCTTTTATTGATACATATTCTACATATTAATGATGGTACCCATAAGTATTTTTTACATGCATAGAATATGTAATGATCAAGTCAGAGTATTTGATGTATCCATCACCTTGAGCATTTATCATTTCTATGTATTGGTAACATTTCAAGTCCTTCCCTCTGGCTATTTTGAATTATACAATATGTTATTGCTAACTATAGAAATCCCACTCTGCTAAAGAATATTAGGACTTATTTCTTTTAACTGTAAGTTTGTATCCATTCACCAACCTCTCTGGAAACTATGACTTTTTAAAGGCAGAACTGTGTGCTAATCTTCATTTTCATGCAGAGGCTCAATAAGTAGCTGCTAAGTGTGGGTGAATTAAGGTATCCCACAGACCACATCGTCTTTTTGACTCAACAGACATTTTCACAATCAAATCTATTTTTATGACCTTAAAAACAAATAAAAATATTAAACTCTCAGCTCTTTTATTACTAAGTAATGACCACTACAGACAACCTCACACCATTTCTGAATTTCGCCTCTTTTCCTAAAAGGGATGAATTTCAGGGAGAGGATAAGTTTCAGGATGAATATGAAAATGTATAATAAAATTATTAGTGGAAATGTCAATCATATGTTTTCATGATATACACGGCACCAAATTCCACTAGATAACCTGTACCCTCATCCTCACACTGGGTGATCGGTGGCCAATTTAACTCATAATATATCTGAATTTCATAATTTAGCCACATTATAAGTTAAACAGATATTTGTGGACTGGCCCCCCAAGTCTGTCCTCAATCTATGAATATTGTTTATATTTGTCTAGAAAAAGCCAATTTACCAATATTTATTTAAAATACAATTGTAGAGGCCGGGCGTGGTGGCTCAAGCCTGTAATCCCAGCACTGTGGGAGGCCGAGGCAGGTGGATCACGAGGTCAAGAGATCAAGACCATCCTGGTCAACATGGTGAAACCCCGTCTCTACTAAAAATACAAAACATTAGCTGGGCATGGTG